GGGTGGCCCAGGCACCTTGAGGACAGTATCGCCACGTTTTGCAGGTGATGCCCGACGGTGTTAAGGATGGGTTAAAGATGGGTTTTCCCTCTGGCTTGGCAGGCTGACAGCGCAGTGGAGCGTGGAAGATGAGGAGGAGGCGGCGAGAGAGCGGCGGCGGCGGGAGCGAGAGAAGCAGCTGAGGTCCCAGGCAGAAGAGGGCTTGAATGGCACCGGCTCCTGCTCGGAGAGCGCGGGTCCGGCACAGGAAAACCAGTAAGAAATACCCGCAGATAAATGCTTCAGTGACATGCTCTCTCCTTGCAGCAAAACCCTCCTGCATCCACGGAGCGGGTGTCTCTGTTGTTCGGGGTGATCTGGGGAGATGGGGAAGTTCCCTAATAGGTTTGGGTTGGGGGATTTAGCCCAGACTAACAAATAGTGTGTTTCTAGTTTGGGCAGAAAAAGCCAGAATCCCCGCTTTGCTCTTTTTTTCGGCTGGAGGCTGGGTGTTCTACTGCCCTGAGAGTTTAAAGTAGGACAGCTTGGGTAAGGCTGAGCTCAGGCAGGGAGTCCCCATCGCCAGGGATTTCAGTGCCTGGTTAAATTTCAGCTTGTGAATCATCCTACACCGAAACTAACGGGAAGTTCCCGACACGTGCGAAGACAGACACGTGCCTGAGGATGTGACGCACAGCCCCAGGCAGATCTCGGTGCTGGCGGCTGAGCGAGCCATCACCTCCCGGTCAGGCTCCCTGCTCGTCCCTGAGAGGATGCTGCCCTGGCAGTGGGGAGCATGGAGCTGCTCCTGAGCCGGTGCAGTTCACAGCTCCAAGGGTTAAAGTTAACCTGATGCTTTAATGGGGCAGGTCCTAAATGGCAATAGCTCAGGAGGCATTTATGGAGCTGCTGAGCTATTTGTTGTCAGAGAGGAAACCCCTGGAGAAGAGATAGGATGACCAGTCACGTCCCCAGCATCCCGCCTCAGCATCCCACCGCAGCCTCCCCGTGTCCACCGTTCAGCAGCCCAGGTGCTGTGCAGCATTGGGGCCGGCGCAAAAACCAGTCTGCACTCTGAGTTGCCAAACTCTGTCTTAAAGACCCCAGTCTTCCCACTATTTATGTGTTCAGCTTATTTCTGAATATATTAAACACAATGGAAGAGTGTCGGCAGGATTTGGGATTACAGTCAGAGAGAAGCAGCAGCTTCATTTTACTGGAAAAATAGCAAAAGCTATTTATGAAAATCTATTTTTTCCCATGAAAAGATAATTTCTTTTTTTCTCAGATACTTTCAAAATTATTCAGGACTTTTTTTGGGGGGGGCTAAAAGCATTGCAAAGAAGCTTCAAAATCTTTTGTGGAAATGCACCCAGTGATATTCTGCAGACAAACCCACTGCAGTCTGCCCTAAAAGCAAACAGAAGATCTGGAAAGTAATAATAATTGTTAGCTTTTCCAAACCCACCCCCCGCCTTCACACAGGGGCTGGAAAATAATTCTCAAAAGTCTTTAAAATGGCCGACAAGATCTCTAGTCTCTGCTTTACCGGGAGATGCTGTGAGCGGCCTCGGGCACAGAGCAGCGTGCAGCAGCCCCAGTAACCAGTTTGCAGGCTCCGGTCCCATGGGCATAGGCACAGACACGCTGCTGACCCCACGGGACCGTTGGCAGTGCCTAAATTTAATTGAGTGCTTAAACATCTGCGAAGGGGGCAATGACAAGAAGAACTCCTAAAATGAGGGGGTTTGCTCCCTGCTCCGCGATGCTTGAGCTTGGAAGCATCGGGAAGGATGTTTCTTCTCTGGCCATCCCCTGGTTTCTTCTGCAGCTGCTGACGGCCACCTGGGCTTGCTCATGCAGCCGGGGTCAGCCCTGGCTATTAATCTTCCGAAAAGCTTTCCTCTCTCTTGTGTAAACACTGTCCCCTCCTTCCCTCGGCTCTTCCCACGCTGGGGCTCATCCCAGCCATGTCACTCCTGTTTGTGCAAACCCGCCCTCCGCATTTCCTTGCACCAAAGGGACAGAGCGAAGCTCCTCTCCTCCCTTCCCCCGCTAAAAAAAAGAGAAATAACCCCCAAAACGGCGGCTTTGCAGAAAAGACGCACGTAGCCTTGGGAACCAGAGGGATGGACATCAGCTTAGGCGGTGCTGGTGGGGCTGTGCTGGCTCCATGCTTCTCCTGGGGCTGGGTTTGCAGAGGGGCACAGGGAAGCGACCAGTTTTCAAACAGCATTCAGCTGGTCTCCCTTGCTCCCTGGGAGCTTTTCTGATAGCCTGAGCACACGTTTGTGGTCGTGGCCACAAATACCGGAGCGATTCTGCCTTGGACATCACCAACACTGCAGCTCGCCTGAAGCCCTGACCTGGGACTCAGCAGGTCCGTGGTCCTGTCCTGGCTCTGCGTCAAATTTCCTGAGCATTGTCCCAGGGCATCCACAAGCTGCTGCCTACACACGCAGTGGAAAATAGCCCAGCCTGGGCTGCGATGTCCTAGACCAACACGGTATCACGTTCAGCAGTCTAGGGGGATGCTGAAAGGTGGCAGGAGCTGGGCTGTGCTCAAACTTGCGGCCGAGCAGCCGTTTTCGGTGTGCACCCCCTGCTACCCTCCCTGGTGAGCCTGGCAAGGGCATGTGTTTTTCGTAAACCCTCAGCTCCTGCAGTCAGTTCAATGTGAGACTCCCGAATCTCAGAGAAATGCCCCATATTTCAAGCCACCGGGGTTATGGAGGAGGCTAAGCATCTCCTGACACCTCCTAAGAGCCCAGAAAGGCAAAGAAAAGACTCACGCGCATTTATTACATATTTTGAATCTCTGAGTTTTAAACTAACCTGTGGGTCCCACATCCTAATTCCCATTCCTGGACGATGTGACTGCCCTGCATCCCAAAAACATCTGTGAAGCCACCTCCTCAGGCCGACGCTTGCAACTTGGCTGCCCACCTAGGACCCCCAGCCAGGAGGTGATTCTCCTTGCGAACGCAAGGAAAGAAATAGGAAAAAACCCAACAATCCCCGTGGACGGCCAGCCCGCATCTGGTGCCGGCAGCTGTGCGCCCCGGGAGGGCTGCGGCTCCGAACAGCGGTAGGGTATTCACAGGCGGGGAGCCAGAGTCATGCAAGTGCATGTGACTGGCTCAAAGCTGCAGGGGAACGTGAGGATCCGAGCCAGAACTTGAGCCAGTGTCCTCAGCTTTGAGTCTTCATGCCTTCCCCGTCCAGCGATCTGTTCAGGTCCACTCCTGCCGATTGCTTTTCTATAGGGCTGCGTACAAACATAGGGCAAGCAGCAACCAAGTTTGAAACATCTCTGGTCCAAAGAAGCTAGGGCCAGCTCTGGTGCAGAAGAATACCATGGACTTTTTGGTTTTGATGTGCTGCTTGCCTTTTGCTCGCCTGCGTGCGGCCCCAGAGAGCAGGCGGGCAGCGGGGTGCTCATGCCGGAGACACGGAGCTGCTCCTTCTTCATCTCCATCTCGCAGCGATGCCCTGAGAGACCCCCTTTGTACAGGGTGCTCCTAAGCACGTGGCAAAGGCGTCTTCCCTGTAACGGAGGATAAGGCTTCAAGTGGGATTTGGGAGCAGTCAGAGGAAAGAAGATGCAATAACTGGAGGGAGAGGAGGACGGTATCAGGCTGGGGCTCTTTCAGGCCAGGTTTGGGGTTTTTTGCATCTCTTTCATCCTTACTTTCCTTCTTTGTTTCAGCTATGACTTTAAGCCATCCGGGACTTCAGAGCTGGAGGAGGATGAGGGGTTCAGTGACTGGTCCCAGAAGCTTGAGCAGCGCAAACAGAGGTGGGTAGGACACAGCCGGACCGAGGGGAGGGGAACCAACGCGTCCAGCAAAAGGACCGACCCTGAGGAGGGGCAGGACGGGTCCCGCACTGCTGGGACAGATGCTCTCCGCCCGCCATTTGGGCTAGTGGGGAGGAACAGGCTCAGGGACTGCCCTGGGCTTCGGGGATGTTTGGATTGAGCTTTGCACTCCAAGCGATGGCAGCCTGCCAGGACGCCTGGGTTTGGAGGAGTGACAACAGCGGATTTAAGCCACCTGAGCTGCTGCAGGGGCTGAAACGGCCTCTAACATAATCCAGGCCAGCCTAAAAACCTGTTCTAAGTTATTGCTGCTTCCTGGCTCATGGCAGCATAGTGGGTGTTACGGCCCCAGCCCACCTTGTGCTTGACTCCTCTTTCATCGGGGCTCCTCCTCAGCCAGCAAAGAGCCCTGAGAGGTGCTTGTGTGCCGGCTCTTTGGTCCCCATCTCCCATCACTCTCCCCTTGCTGAGCTGAACCAAACTCCTGCCTTAACCACTTCCCTTGGACACCATCTACCTGCACGTGAACTCTGTGACTCAGCTCTCTTGGCAGCTTGATTTTATAGGGAATTTTACCATGTGATGACACAACCTCTTCTTTACCCCCGAGACTGAAAAAATGCCTAAGATTAATATTTACTGCTGAACAAATAAATAGAGCTCGCCTCATTCTTACTTTTTCCCAAACACTGTGGCTAAACCACTCTGCAAGCTGTACCTTCGCAGCCCTGACCCCGCAAGCATTGCTCAAGCACCTCGCCGCAGCACTGATTATCACATCTGTGAGAGCAATTAGGAATCAGCCCCATCAGCTTTTCAGCACACTGCCTCTTTTTCCACCCTCCTTGCAAAGAGCTTGTCCGGAGAGAAAGGCTGCTGCTCTTCCCCTCTTGGCCTTCAAAAGAGAATTAGCTGGAAGGGTTGCATTATCCTCTCCAGGAATTGCTCCTTGGTTTTTTATGCGATGCTCGTGTTTATTCTGTAGCGGGGCGGGAGGGTGCTAGGCAGGGGAGGTGGCACCCGTGGCAGGTGAAGCCCATCGGAGAGGGGTGGTGCTTTAAAGGCAGCGGCGGTAGGGGAGCAGGCTTTTGGCTGGAGGCTGGCTGGGAGAGGCAGCTGGAGGGGCTCAGACCCTGTGGGCTTGCTGGGAGTGGGCTCGTTGCAAAAGCTGGGCTTGCTTCCTAGTGGGTGGCTGTGCCCTGTGGAGTCCCTTCAGCAGCTTTTCCCTTCCTCCTTGCTTACCTGCCTGACCCGAAGGACAGGCTTGGAGTGCGGCGTGAGCCCAGGTAGGCTGTGTGTCTGGCTGGGATGCCCCACGCTGGGACAAGCAGTGCTGTGGCCAGGGTTTCTCAACTGCCCTCTCTCCTGCTTAACTGAATAGGGAGCAAACCCTGGTTTTTCATGTGAAGGGTGTTTAGGCGGTGGCTATGACTGAGGGATGGAGACAGTTGCTCTCCCTTGGAGATGGCTTGCGCATCCCCTGAGGGCCTTGGTGCTAAGGCACCTTTTCTTTTTGATTCTGGTTCCCCCACTCGGTGGGGAGAAGATTCTTGCCCCCACAGCTATCAATCAGCTGCATGCAAGAGGGTGGGAGCTGGGTCAGACTAGCTGCCTCCCATACAAAATTGCTGTGGTGCAAAAGGCATCCTATAGACTGATCATATCTGCTGGCCTAAATTTTTAATATGAGCTTGCATTTTAGCTGGAGGCATTGCTGGCATCCTGGTTAAGAGAAACTAGTTACCCGGGCTATAAAACCTTCAGAGCCTGTTTGCTCTTGGTGACCGCACTGTCGTGGGAGGATGATTAGTAGCAAGCCAGCATATGCATCAGCTTTTTCCCTCTGTGGTCAGTTGGGAGGGTTGAATGGTGGCTGTCCTGTAAGCTGCCTTCCCAGCAGCAGAGAGGTGGGTGGAAAAGCATCGCTTGAACTTTTTTTTCATGTTTTGGGGCTGGCTGGTGAGGCAGAAGCGGTGAGTCAACCTTGCGCTTTGGCAGCTGCCTGCTAGCCAGTTGTCTAGCCTTGTTGTCACAAGCCAGGTGATTTTCCAAGAAATGGGTGGGAGGAGAAAGCTATTCTCTGGCTGGGGAAAGTACGATGGTAATAACATCTTGGTGCAGGGCTGTGAGCCAGCGAGAGCTCTGGGGTTACGTGCTCCCACCGACTCTGTGCCCAAAGGCATGGGCTGCTCTGCTTTTGCAAAGCTGATTGCTTAAACATACTCCTGGGTCTCCTCTCTGCAGCCTTGGAGGCTTTAAACCTAAGCCGAGGGGTGACCCTGGCTGCTTTGGGACGCCTTTGTTTTGCTGGGCTATGACATGAGCGACGTGAGTAGAGGCGTTATTTATTCTGGTGGGTAAAACTGAGGCTTGGGGTCGGGTGTGGATATGGCATTGCCTGCAAAGCACTGTGCCTTGCAAACGAACAACAACCCCAGGCCAGTGGCTGTGCAGCCTTGCCCTGCAGGTTAGCTTCAGCTAGGGAAAAGGGGGATCTTGGGAAGCACATCCACATGTCGTTGGTTGGATCCTCCCCCAGCGAGAGGCTCTGTTAACATGGAAGACGAGTTAAGGGAGAGGAAGGCTGTGTTTGGTGCTCCACACTGAACTGATGCTGGCAACCATGGGGCCAGTGTCGGATCTGTGTTTGTGCACCAGGACCACAGAGCACGCTGGCTGACCTGGGATTTTGGCTGTAGCAGAGCAGAGAATTGAGCTAGCACCACATCGTGGTGGTAGTGTCCTCTCTGCCTGGGGTCTGAGCGGAGGCCAGGACCTGGTGTTCGGGTCTGTCTGATCTCTGCTTTCCTGCAGGTCTTGCCCGCGGTGAGGCTGGAAGGGTGCAGATACTTTCAGCTCTGCCACAACTCTTAGTTGAGCTGTGTCCTGAGTATTCGAAGTGTGGGAGTGTGACGTGACTGCTGTTACATCTGGGTGCCTGGAACTGGATGGGACCGTGGAAGTGGCTGTGAGCCCTGGTGTAAAACACCCAGCAAGTTGTAGGCTCGGGGGCATGATAAAATCAGATTTCTAGAGGTCTGAGGCATCCGATGGTGTCTGTAGGCTCATAACAATGTGTTTTGCTTCTTTGACCTCTCTCCCCTACCTCTAGGTCTCCACGACAGTCGTATGAAGAAGAGGACAGTGGTGTGAGGGAAGCCGAAGTCAAACTGGAGCAGATCCAGCTGGATCAGGAAAGTGCGGAGGAGATCCGGGAGGAGAATGTGGTTACAGGGGAGGAAGAGAGGCTGTGCCAAGAGGAAGAACAGGTCCGAGAGCAGGAGGAAGAGGAGAGAGCCGAGCAAGAGGTGGGATCAGGAGGAGCTGACCTTCTCCTCTCCACAGGGCTTGTGGGAAAGCTTGGTGAGCTGCTCTCCAAGAACTCAGCTCACCATTGCTGCTTACACTGCTGGGTGTTGAGCCCACGTGGACAAGCTGTCATGGCATAACCTGGGGCTGGTGCCACTCTTGGGTCACTGTGTTCCTTCTTGGGGTCACTGCAGGCAGCCTCTGCCCTCTCGTGAGGGTGGAGTGTTTGCTCCCAGAGCTTGTGGTGTTGTAGTCACGTCCCTGCAATACCGAGAAGGAGAGTGCTACTATTTCTCCTGTGGTTTTGTGGGCAGTGAGTAGCTCTTCAGGAGAGCTCAAATCTAAATTTTACTGCTTGTTTCTCTTTCCCCAGCCTTTATCACACCTTTGGAGCACTTTGGCTTGATGTATGTCTAAGCATTGCTCC